ATTGAACCATTAATATGGAAGTGAAATTTCATTTCTGAACAAAACTAGGAGTTTGGGTACTAAAATATAGTGAGGGAGGAAGATGCTATACCAGACTGGCTGAAGGAGGTGAGGAGAAACTCTCAGAATACAGAGTTACCTTCCTTTAAGGAGCTTACGCCTACACTCCGAATCAAAGACCGTAATTCATGTACCTGCTCTCTGCTGATCATACCTACCTGACTTTCATGCTGCCTTGATGTTTTCATCTGGGCTTTCTCTTTGTGGTATAACAAGGCTCCTTTTCCTGTGGTGCCATGCACAGCCCCAATCTCCAACAGAAATGATGTGCCTTGAAGACCCGCTACACTCTTAAGGATGTGGATTAGTTATGCGCTCCCTCTTCTGTTCTAATGTTAGAACAACAATTAAAGACCAGGCATTTTGTATAATATATGTATACGCCCTGCATTCCATAGCAGGGTGCTGTACCCTCTCTTAGAAGGTGATTTTGCCTCCTTCTTTCGGCTGTAAACACTTTAATTTTGCTTTTTCATGTCTGCGGGCGTATGCCTACCTATTTCGACTGCACTTGTTCCAAAGAACTCTGCAACTTTGTAGCTGGGGCTCTTGGATTTTTCTGGATACAAGCAACCAGTCATTCATTGCAATTTGCGAGCTTTGATCAAAAGAATAAAATGAGCCTCTCTGGCTGATGGTTTTTCTTGGTGAGTTTTCCATCCCAAAGACAATTTACCAAGAAATAAATGGCTACTGTACAAATAATTCAGTAATACAACAGTGGAGAATTTATGTAGCTCAGCGTTGAATGTCAGTTTTGAACTTTGCTGTTGGAGAAGACTCCAGAGAATACCATGGACATCCAAGAAAACAAACGGATCATTGAATAAATCAACCCAGAGATCTCACTCGAGGCACCAATGACCAGGCTCCGATTATCCTACTTCGGACACATTATGCAAAGAACCAGCTCTCTGGAGAAGGCTCTGATGCTGGGAAAGGTGGAAGGAAAGAGAAGAAGAGGACAACCAGCAGAAGGTGGATGGACTCAGTTACAGCGGCAATGGGGCCATTGTTGGGAGACCTGAAGGGCCAGGTTAGAGACATTGTCATGAAGATCTATCTATGTGGTTGCTAAGCATCGACAATGATGGCAAATAATAGTAATAATAATAGTTAAATTCAACTAAGAGCTGTAACAAAAAAAAGAACATTGATAATGTGGTGATAAAGAATTGGGCATTCACCTGTGGGCATTCACCCTCTCAGCCGAACAGGACTCAGTTTGATGGATTAAGATTCTGAACAGCCATGAATCAGATCACAATGTTCTCCTTAATGTTCTTTTTCATCCCTGGGTTTGGGAATTGATTCATGTCAGGGTCATTATTTTTTATTTATCTTCCATACAAATGTGGAAGTCCTTCAAGGGAACACCCACAGGAAATGGACTCCCACTCACATACATACACACACATCGCAACTCAAAAGACCTGTGTTGGCGCCATTTGAAGGGTCCAGCAGAGGAAGTTTACTTCTGATAAAATAAATGATCATCTTCCATCCTTCAACTGCCCTTCCGGGGCTATGGAGCTAAGTCTAAACACAACTTCTGCCAAATAGCTGCATGTGTTTGTTGCCTCCTTGAGCAAAAAGTCCACATCCAGCATCAACTCTGGTGACCCATTTCCAGCCCAGATGTTTGCATTGTTTGCATTGTCCCAGATCCCTGCTTGTTTCCATGAAGCATGTGGTTATCCAAAGTTGGACAGAAAAAAGAAATTAGACCAACCAACCAACTCTTCAGAGGTTAGATCCAGGTAGTGATTATCCAGGCAATTGTAGTTTTCCCTTAATCTGGGTTACTCCTTACCCTCCTTAACCAAATGATAGCCTTTATTTCTGAATTTACATGCTAAAGTGCGGATTGGTAAAATAGTACCAAGTGCCCTAGGCAGGTCATGACAGATTGGGAGGGGGGTGTGCATTGAAACTAAGCTGGCAGAGGTACAGAAAATCTTCAGAAAACCCCCTAAGACAGTGTTGTCCAAACTTGGCCACTTTAAGATGAGTGGACTTCAACTCCCAGAATTCCCCAGCCAGCCATGTTTGGACAATACTGCTCTAAGAGACCCAGGATGATTGAGGGTGGCCAGTGGCCCCAGAAATGCTAACTGACATTTGGAAAGGACAGATGAAAGCAGTGGACTAGCTGGAATAGAAATGGAATGGAAGGTCTTGGCAAAGGGGCAGGTTACTGATTACAAAAAGGAACACAAGCTTTGCACATTGCAACATTTTGTTGCATGCTACTTATTGCTTGGGTATACTAAAATCAAAGTGGGATTTGCTTGTGGCTTTGGGCAAGTCCTGCCAATGGTGGTTTTCAACAACCCAACCCCAGTGAGCAGAAGCCATGGCTAAGCGTAACATATTAACCAAAGTACAATGTTTAAGGAGTAAATCTGATTGCATCAGGTTGGTATGACATTATGCTAACATTTTAACTTATTAGATTTCTGTCCTGCCTTTAGGGCCAAGGATTAAGGGGGTCTACAAAGTGTCCCTCTTTGTTTTTTTATAAAGACGATATTAAGTTATAAAAAACGTAAAGATAAAAAGCAAGAAAGAACTAATAATCAAAGAGAGAGGTAGAGAACAAGAGCGTTAGAAATAAAGAAAGAATACAAAAATGATGGAAAGTAAAGAAAAGGGAAGAAAGGAAACATTACAAAAAGAATGACTTCCAACTTCTTATACAGCAGATGTAGATAGATCATATAATAACCTCTTACTCTAAAACTACATCTTAACATACATATTTTGTGTAACCTATTATTTTAACTAATCATCAAATCCATATATCACAATTTCATTTTTTTCCCCCTGTATCCTGCAAAAAGTCCAAAAGGGGCTTCTGATGGGCATTAAAGTTAGTCAATGTTTTTTCTCTCCGCAAAGCTGTCAATTTTGCCATCTCAGCTAACTCCGTCATCTTCACCATCCCTTCTTCCTTTGCAGGTAATGTCGAGTCCTTCCACCTTTGAGCATATAAAAGTCTAGCTGCAGTTAGCATATATAAAAACAAATGTCCATGAGCTTTTTCCATTTGTTTAACCATCGGTCCCAAAAGGAAAGTCTCTGATTTTAACTGTATATTACAAAGTGTCTCTCTTTGTCAAGGAACACAGAGATGACCTTGGAGAAAGAATGTGGAGACAGCAAAACACAAGCTCAGTCCCGGAAAATGAGACAGCGTGAGAAAGAAACTCAAGATTGCCCCACCCTGAGTCTCTCTGATATAAAAGGAAGGGAAGGAAAATGCTGTCAAGCTTTCAAATAGCCCAAATCAATCAGGTACAGTTCTAGTGGTGTCTTGTGGTGTCTGTTTCTTGAGCTGGCCTACCTTGACGGGCTGGGATCAGTCTTGAAAGCCTGACAGAGTTCCCCCTTCCCTCTCTCTTATACAAAGAGAGTTAAGAGCCAATCCTAACTTTCTCTCTCACACTTTCTGTTTTTTCCCCAGACTGAGTTCATGTTTTGCTAATGGTCTCTACATACCTGCTCCAAGATCATTTCTGTGCGCTTCCAGGTTTCTTCATGCTGCCTGTGGGGCGTTGGCGTCCTTCCCTAACCACGATGATGCCCAAACCATGAAAAGAGGCTGTAACTCATGAAACACTCTCCAACCTTTCATGCTTTTGTACTTCTGTCACGACAGGGCATGCAAGTATGTAAGAGTGACATCTCATCACGTATGATGTCACTTGGCCTCCTATGGATGCCAATGCCATCTGGGGACATTTTAAGGGAGGGAGCATATCTGATTCTTCAAGCCATGTTGAACCTGTTTTAGGACTCATCCTACAGCTTATGGCTGTTTCCCATCCCATAAGAGCAGGAGATTGCACTGCTGATATGAGTAGGGAGAGATGGAGAAAAAGTGGCAAAAATGGGGTCATGATCTTTAAAAAATGTTCTTATTGCTCCAGACTAGGGTTTCCTGATGTAAAGAGGAAAGTACAGAGCAACTATGCCAATGAAAGAGTTTGCAGATGAGCTTTTGACCCAATGCCTATAATCCTGTGCCAGGACGGAGCAGGAAGCTTTACTACAGCACAGGTTGCCAAGTGATGCACAGTTCTGGTGAACTGGTAGGCAGTGTTGGCTCCCGCATTGTTTGAATATATTTCTTGGTTTCGGCTTACGGGATGGTTATTCTCCCATTGGCAAACTACTCCAGCCCATTACTACTCCTTTTGTTGGCTCCGTCCTTTTAGGGCTCGAGAAATAGACACGATGCATGTGTGGGATGCTGGACATGGGGGAAGAGCATACAATATTTTGTGGGGGCTGGTATGTAGTGCACTGAATAAACAATGCATTTTTCTTATCCTGCCGGTCTTCATAGCAACGTGAGCCAACTTGGTGTCTTCTACTCTGTGGCCCCAAAATGTTAAAATCCTTCCCCAATTACCAAGCTTTTGGTCGAGTCCTAAGTAGCCAATTAATTTCTGTGTGTGTGTGTGTGTGTGTGTGTATGTGTGTGTGTGTGTATATATATATATATATATATAATATATATGTATGTAT